TTGTCCCTTGAGCTGATATAAAGGTCAATTCCTGTACTTGTGGGACTTGTCTGAGGAGGCCACCAAGAGCTCTGCCAACAGCTCAGAGGTATAACTCTATACTCCCAGATCAGGGACTCCTAAACACTTTCCCTTAGAGTCTGCCAAGGACTGTCGGAATCTTACGCTTGTTGGCTGACCGTGGGATATCCATTGAGCTTCCAGTGGAACTTTATTCCTAACTAGAACCCTCCCATTTGTGTTTGTTCCAAACCTTCAGGATCAACCTCTTTCACAGGCAACATGGTACCTTCCTTGCCTTCTAGGTGAGATTTTAACATCTATAATTAGATAATTGCTTGATCACACATTGACTAAAAGTATAAGGAGAACTTTGGCACAGTAAAATATACCAATGTTTCAAACAGTGCAGAATGAGGTCTGGTAATGTTTGGGGCAAAGTCAGATGGCGAATCAGATCTTCCTAGAGCAGTATTCAATCTTTGTTATCTAGTAGGTATTCAATAAACAAATATTTGTTATATGTATTACACATACATGCAGCTATCGATTTGTATCTATTAATACCCTTCCCAAATTTCCTTTATAGGATCCTTTTCACTGCTGTGAATGTTGTCTGCAGAAAGAGATGTGTGTACAAAATGCTGCTTCCTTACCTCAAAGTGGAATCAATTCTATGGGACAATTCATGCTCTAGGGCTCTCCATAGGATCAGGCTGACGCTCAACTCTAGGTAAGAACAGGCCACATCCTTTCTCAACCCCTTGCTTCCTTCACTGTGTTTCTTCTGAGAGCGATCTTCTAATAAATTATGCACTCAGATTCTGTTTCAGGGCTCTGCCTCTAGGGAAACTGACCTAAGACACCGCATGAGTAAGGACAAAAATAATAAAATCCATCTATGTTGATGACCTGGAGACAATGCAAACAAAGATATAGGAAGGGATGACATAAAATCAGAGAAAGGGCCAAGGTGAGTAAGATGCTTTACTTGAGTGAAAGGAACAGCGACAGGCACCTTTAAACCATCCTGCATTAACCAAGTGGATACAAACACTTTCGGTCATGCAGTCGGTGAGAACTCACGTTATTTTAGAGTCTGGACTTAGAGCACTTTGTGTCAAAGCCTGGGTATTCTTTGCCACTGGCATTAAAGTTTCTGGGACCTGGAAATGACTGCTGTGATAGGGACCAGTGGAGAAAAAGGGATTTCAGGCACAACAGCTGCAGAATCTTGGTGACAAGGCACATGGAGTCCGACAGTGGCACTTCTGGAGCTACGGTGACTACAGTGACCTCCTCCATGAGGAGCAGCAACTGGATAATGATATTAGTGTATTATGTATGGATGACTAGTTGTAGATTATATATTTACATACAATTATACTGTCATTCTTAATTCTTAATTAACTCCACATTACCAGATTTATTCTTGTCCTTGGAGGAAGCAGGTTATAGAGTATTCAGGCAATTTATTGTTATGTAACAAACTGTCCCCAGTTGGCTCATGGCTTAAAAAAGTACACCCATTTATTTTGCTAATGTGTCTGCAGTTTGGGGTGGGTTCAGCAGGAACAACACCCTCGCTGCTTCATGATTGTCTGGGGCCCCAACCGGGAAGACTTGAGTGGCTGGGGGCTGGCTTCCTCATAGCACGGTGGTCTCAGAGTAGCTGGACATCTTTTCTGGTAGCTGGCTTTCCCAGAGCAAGTGTCCAAGACACTTCAGGAGGAAGCTGCAAGATCTCAGAAATCCCAGTACATCACATCCACCATAGTGTATCAGTCAAGCAAATCACCAAGGCCAGGCTAGATTCAAAGAGTGGGGTAGGGATGGGGGTGAGGGAGGGCAAGGATTAGGTCTAATCTCTCCAAGGAAGGAGTGTAAGAGAATTTGCAGACATCTTTAATCTATCACACAGACGTAGAACATGTAGGGGACTCTTTGATAAATGCAGTAAAGGAAAAAGAAGATAGCAATACTACCCTTCCCAGTTAAGATTTTGTTTCATGGCTGGGCGTGGTGGCTCATGCCTATAATCCCAGACCTTTGGGAAGCTGAGGCGGGCAGATCACTTGAGGTTGGGAGTTTGAGACCAGCCTGACCAACATGGTGAAACCCTGTCTCAAAAAACAAACAAACAAACCAAAATATTTTGTTTCTTTGTTTTTAGAGACAGGGTCTTGCTCTGTTGCCCAAGCTGGAGTGCAGTGGTCCAAACATAGCTTACTGCAGCCTCAAACTTCAGAACTCAAGTTATCCTCCTGCCTCAGCCTCCCAAGTAGCTAGGACTACATGTACACACCACCACAGCTGGCTAATTTTTTAGAAAAGTTTCTGTAGAGATAAGGTCTCACTCTGTTTGCCCAACTGGTCTTAAACTCCTGGCCTCAGGTGATCCTCCCACCTTGGCCTTCCAAAGCACTGGGATTACAGGCATGAGCCACTGCACCCAGCGTGTTTGTTTTTTAAGAACAAAATAATTTTAGCACGTTTGAAAGCTAAGGAAAAAGAACCAGAGAAGGGAGCAGATCAAGGAAGTAAGAAAGAATGTTTGCTGCATCAAGATTCTAAGGCTTCAGAGAGTAGCAATGTCTAGTTTAGAGATTGCTGTTCTTTAGATGCACATCTTTTCTGTTATATGTTGGTAAAGTCATGTGAAACTTCACAGTCTGGTTCAGTCTTGCTGTGGGGAGGGAAGGGGAGGAAAGGGCTGGTTCACTTCTGGCCTGGAAGAGTAGGGGGAGCAAGGTCTCCTACAGCTAGGGCATGACCTATGCCAGCTTCCCCCATCTGATGGAGGTCTGCCAGAGGGTAGGGCCATGTCTTCAATTTCTCTGCCTCATCCTACACAGCAAAAAACATAACCTGCAAACCAGAGTGTCAGTGCTAGGGTCTAGGCCAAACAATAGTTTTCCTGCAGGAATGGGGAGGATGTGTGGATGTTGAGCTGGGGGTGAGGCTTTTGTGCAATTCAGCTTCACCATGCTTGAAGAAGATGCAGTGAGGATAGTCAGGGCCTGAGTATGAGAGTGAGACATGAGTGTAAGTGTGGGAGTCCATCTTAGAACCTTAGAATTCTGTGCTCTGAGGTAAAGCTGAGAGGCTCCACAGGTGTATGAGGGTTTTTCTTTGTTTCCCAGGGAGTGTAAGGTGCCCAAATTCTGAGGTAGGTGCCATAGGAATACTCCTCATAGCACAAGTGTTATGTTGGACAATGTTCTGCTTATCTATTACTGAGTAATAAACCTCTTTAAAACTTAGAGGCTTAGGCCGGGCATGGTGGCTCATGCCTATAATCCCAGCACTTTGGGAGGCCGAGGTGGGTGGATCATGAGGTCAAGAGATCGAGACCATCCTGGTCAACAAGGTGAAACCCCGTCTCTACTAAAAGTACAAAAATTAGCTAGGCATGGTGGTGCGCATCTGTAGTCCCAGCTACTCGGGAGGCTGAGGCAGGAGAATTGCTTGAACCCAGAAGGCGGAGGTTGCGGTGAGCTGAGATTGTGCCAATGCACTCCAGTCTGGGTAACAACAGCAAAACTCTGTCTCAAAAAAAAAGAACTTAGAGGCTTAAAATAACATAAATCATAGTTTATGAAAAATCACAAATAATTCATTTAAGGGTTAAATGATAAATGAGTTGATTATTTCTGAGGACTTTGGATAAGACACAGTTAAGAAAGACCTGTTATTGTTGTGAGTAACATGGAACAGCCCAGATGGTTGGAACAACCCAACCTAGGTAGCTTCCTCACTCAGTGACTGACCCCTTAGCTAGGACAGCTCCACCAGCCCAATGGTCCAGCTCTCCCTCTCCAAGTGGTCTCTGCACGTGGTTTCTCTCCATCAGGATGGCTAAAGGGGAGCAGCTCATGACCCCCGACAGCTCAAAATCAAGGTTGCTAGGACGTTTTCAAGCTCAGAGCTGGAATGGAGACATTACCGCTCCTACCACCTTCTTCTATTGGTGAAATGGAGTCATGGCTCTGTCCAGATTCCAGGGTCAAGGACCATAAAGGGCTACACTGATGGAAGACATGTCTCACTGGGGGACACCAGAGTAACAACTACCAGACAAGAAGGAGCAGGCCTGAGTGTGCACCAGTTCCTAATTCTAGGTATCCCTCTCTTCAGAGAAGATGGTTGGAGGGCAAATTGTGGGGAGCAAGGTAACCTCAAACTTTTACAGAATTAAAGGTAGAGGGTCTGGTTAGCCAGTTTGTCTGTTATCAAGAGGACTAGCTGTGTGTGTCTTTATTCAGTCTATCAGGCGTTTGTTGAGCACAGCCTACACGCCAGATTTTTCATTTTTTGACGCAGGATCTTGCTCCGTTGCCCAGGCTGGAGTGCAGTGCAGCGATCGCGGTTCACTGCAGCCTCGACCTCCTCAGGCTCAAGAGATCCTCCTGCTTCAGCTTCTGGAGTAGCTGGGGCTATAGGCGCGCACCACCATGCTCCGCTAATTTTTGTATTAGTAGGGACCAGGTCTCACCCTGTTGGCCAGCCTGGTCTCGGATTCCAGAGCTCAAGTGATCTGCCCGCCTCTGTCTCCTAAAGTGTTGGGATTACAAGCGTGAGCGTTGGAGCCCGGCATATGCCAGGTTCTACATGTGTTCTTTCTTTACTCCTGTGTTACAGAGGCTCGAATGAGGCCTTGCTTCTACAGTACCGCACCCAGCACCACGCCGCGACGCAGCCTCCTGCGCCCTTTCCGCCCTGCAGCTGGAGTTGGGGCAGAGCGCGGGGTCTCTAGGAAGGCAACATTTAACGCGGTCGGCTCCTAGGCATCTAGTGGGGCTGCAACCCCGCCGCCGGGGGCGAAAGGCGAAGGGGGAAAGCTAGGGCTTTGACGGCGCAGCCAGGGTCCAGCTTGCTCTAGGATCCACGTCAGAAAGCCGTCCCCGAGGCCGCGCGCGCTAGAGACCACAGTCTGCGCCCCCGCACGCACGCGCTCACGCACACGCGCGCGCCAACCACGCCCACCGCCCCTCTGTGGTCCCGCCCTCAGGATTGACCGCACGAGCCACCGTCCGCACAGCCCCGCCCCGCACGGCCAGGCGTAGCGGAGCCGGCCGTGCGGTGTGTGTGTATGTGTTCGCGGGGCGCCGTCTCAGCCCCGGGAAGATGGTGGCTGCAGCGGCGGCGACTGAGGCAAGGCTGAGGAGGAGGACGGCGGCGACGGCAGCGCTCGCGGGCAGGAGCGGCGGGCCGCACCGGGACTGGGACGTGACCAGGGCTGGAAGGCCGGGGCTGGGGGCCGGGCTGCGCCTCCCGCGACTGCTGTCGCCGCCGCTGCGGCCGCGGCTGCTGCTGCTGCTGCTGTTGCTCCCGCCGCCTCTGCTGCTGCTGCTGCCCTGTGAAGCAGAGGCCGCGGCGGCGGCGGCGGCAGTGTCGGGCTCAGCCGCAGCCGAGGCCAAGGAATGTGACCGGCCCTGTGTCAACGGCGGCCGCTGCAACCCTGGCACCGGCCAGTGCGTCTGCCCCGCCGGCTGGGTGGGCGAGCAATGCCAGCACTGCGGGGGACGCTTCAGGTGAGTGGGGGGTGGTGTCGGAGGGTCGGGCCCAACCAGAAACTGGGGCTGAGGGGCGTTCGAGACGGCTCCAGACCTAGAGGCAGATGCTGGACAGAAAGTGGAGAGGGTAGGGCCGCCCCATGGTGTTTGAGGGCCATTTGGTTCCGGGGAGATCATCGTCTCTGGCCTGGGGTCTTCTTCTGTTGGAAGGTGAAAAGGTGTGGGACAAGGGTGGGGGCACCCCGACGGTATTTGGGTGCTTGGGTTAGATTGGAAAAATGCGGAGGGACCCAAAGAGCATCAAAGCCAGTCGCTCTAAAACTCGGGCTGTTTCAGCTAAACGAGATATCCACGGAAAGGTGAGCTAGCCAGGTTTGCTTAAGCACTTCCTTTAACATCCACACGTGCCCTAGGGCCCGACAAGTTCCTCTATGGACTGGAGATGTGGGATGCTCTGAAGAAACAGGGCCCTGGAAATGCTTTGTTGTCTGGAGATAAAAGGGAAAGGGTAGCATTGTAAGATTTTAGGGATAGAAGGACCACTGGTCCTTCTAAAGGAAAGTGAGGAAGCTTAATTTTTTGGCAAAAGCTTACTGGAGGTGGCAGATTCGAACAGGGTCTGTGGTGAAGAGGGGATGGAAGGAGATTCCTGTTTGCCTTGGTTTCTGGACAACACGAAGTTCTGAATTGGCCTGGTTTGGGGCAGTTCCTCTTGGAGAAATCATTAATAAATTAATTAGTAGTTATCTGTTATTTGCTTCAGCGTGCAAGGATTTTCCAGGTAATACAAACGAATAGATTAGTCAGACTTTGGCCTGGTCCACAAGGAGTTTGGAATATAGCAAGAGAAAGATAATGTGCACACATAACCCTAGACATAAGGGTTACAGAGTCAGTCATGCCTTTGGCAGGTGTTTAGTTTACTGAACACATGTCTGATGTCAGGGAGTAGGGCAATGTGAACAAGACAGGCAGGGTCCCTGCTGTCATCGGTCTTAACATTCTAGTGGGAGCAACAGGCACTTAACAAGTAAATAAATGAGAGAAATGAACATGGTAATTGCAGGTAATGGTAAATGCTATCAAGAAAATAAAAACAGGGTGGTGTGATAGAGAATCGTAACCAGTGGTGACTTTTGGAGAAGGTTCTCATTTGAAATGACATCTGATCTGAGACCTGAAAGAGGCAATGGGGAACCTTTGGGGATTCAGGGGTGGAGAGGTTGTGGCTACCTGGAGGGATTCAAGGAGGACTTTGAGGAGGCCAACACTGGATTTAAGTATTTAAGATTAAGCAGGATTTGGAATTGTGGAGCTGGGAAAAATACAGATGGAAAGAAGGGTGCAAACAAAGTTGTGGAGGCTGGAAAGTAAAGTTTTGTTGCTGCCTATGTGGAAGAGAGTTGTGAGAGAGGAGTTTGGAGTAGCAAAATTGTAGGCTAGGTGATGTTAGGTCTTCTAAGGAGCTCAGAGAACGTTGAGCAGATGAGCTTTTAGTTTTGTGGATGGAGAAACCAGGTGACTTCAGGATCACTATGCAATGAAGCTGCCTTTGTAACTTAGAGTGTTCTGATTTATGAATTCCATTCTGATTTATGAAATCTACGTATATTTGTTTGGGGGCTGCTCTGTTTTAGGTTGTGAGATACAGTGGTATACAACACAGGTACAGTCCTATTCTTATGGAGCTCACATTCTACCTTGGGAGTAAAAAAATCCAATTAAAATTTTATTGTAATTTTGTTTAAGGCTGTGGAGGTAAAGAACAGGAGACAGAGGACTTGACTTAGTTTGGGGGTAAGGTTAATCACTGAGGAAGCGATGTGAAGTCTGAGGGGTGAGATGGTATTACCTACAGGAGGGGTGAGGTGCTGAGGGGCCAGCAGGTATAGAGGCTTGGGGATGAAGGGAATGATGGCAAGCTGGATGGAAGACTAGGTGACAGGAGCAGAGAGAGCAAAGGGGAGCTTGGCAAGACTGGAGAGAAAGGCAGAAGCCAGGCCAAGTGGAGATGTGTGGGTTGGATTGAGAATTTTGACCTTTAGCCCAAGAGCAGTGAAATGGCGTAGTTCACTCTTGTTTTCATGATATTATAGGCTTTTAGACTGGAGCCAGAATACAAATGGCCTTGAAGGTGAGGCCAGGGCATTTTGAATTTGAGAAGCTTCCAAGATCAGGTGACTGGATGGTTGGGTCAGATGAGGTTCCTTCAGGTTCTGAAAATCTGGTACACTGTGGTAGGCAGTGGGGACCTACAGTGTGGGAAGGAGACTATAGCAAGATCAATCTGTAATGTTCAGAGTAGGTAGACTCACTTTGGGCATGAGAGATAGTGGGCAGCTAGGTGGGATCTGTTAGCATGGGTCAGGCCAGTGGTAATGAGAGCCTGTGGTGTGTAGAGGTGAAATGAACAAGTCTTTCGTGTAAACTGGTTTGCTCTTGGAAAGTGGGGGACGGTGAGGGAAAGAAAACAAGATCATATCTTGGGTGACCGAGAGGACAGTGATACCATAAACAGACACAGGGACACAGGAGCAGGTGTTAGACATTTAATTGCACACATGCTGAGCTTGTGTGCTCTGAGTACACACCTGGCAGATGTAAGTTTGGAGTCATCTACGTATGAGGGAGATTGCCAGGGAGCTCTCTTTGAGACTCCACGTGGAAAGCCCAGAGGATTGGAGAGGAGCTACTTGCTGCAGGAACAGGCAGTCCTGACACTGGTTGTCTAAAATAGTGTCACGGGTAAGTGAAGGGACTCCCCTGCTTATTGTGGATATTCCCTTTGAGCTGATTCTAGGTGATATCAGTGCTGTTTCCTGGGTAGACAATTATGACTTTGGTCCTGATGATAGCATTGTATTTTGTGGGCTTTGGAATTTTGCATTTTTAAAAATGAAAGTAGGAGGAACTTATGACTCTGGTCTTTAAAAAAACTCAATAAAATTTTAGTTGTGCCTGGGTGTGGTGGCTTATGCCTGTAATCCCAGCACTTTGGGAGGCCGAGGAGGGCAGATCAGGAGATCAGGAGTTCAAAAACAGCCTGGGCAACATAGTGCAATCCCGTCTCTACTAAAAATACAAAAAAAATTAGTCAGGCATGGTGGTGGATACTTGTAATCCCAGCTACTTGGGAGGCTGAATCAGGAAAATCGTTTGAACCCAGGAGGTAGAGGTTGCAGTGAGTCAAGATTGTGCCATCATACTTCAGCACTGGAGACAGTGCAAGACTAAGTCTCAAAAAAACTTTTTTTTTTTTAGTTAAAGGATTCTTTTGGGGGGAAGAGTGCAATGTTGGTTTTAATTGCAGTGATTTGTTTCTTGATTTAATTTACAAATCTCTCTGTTATTAAATGACATTAAATGAATACTTTTCTGATTTAGAATGGCCTCAAGTTGGAGTGCCTTTTAATCTTTTTAGTCCTGTAAATCCTGTGTTATAATTGCCATTATAGGGTTTTTTCATTAATTGAAGGGAACATAGGCTAACAAGGATTGGATTTCCCTAAGGTTATCACTGAGTGCATACTGTGTCCCACAGAGCATTTTCAGGTACATTGTACTATTTAATCTTCAGGACAACTCTGAGGGTGTAATATGAAATTTACATTATTGTATTATTGTAGTTAGTAATAAATATTACTAAAAAATATTGTAGTTAGTAATAAATATTACTAACTACAATAATATAATAATGTAAATTTTATATAACATTATAAAATAATGTTTTTTTCTAAATAAAAGATGCCATAGAAATGATTAATTATAAAGGATAAGTTAAAGGATGGCAGTTTAATAAAAATAGCTATAGAATCTTTGGTGTGTGATTAATTAGGCAGTACCACTTTCATTCATTTTTATGTGAATCTTTATAATTCAGTGATCTTTTTTCTTTTTTTGAGATGAAGTCTCACTCTGTTGTGTGGGCTAGAGTGCAGTGGTGCAGTATTGGCTCACTGCAGCCTCCACTTCCCAGGTTCAAGTGATCCTCCTGCCTCAGCCTCCCAAGTAGCTGGGATTACAGGCACCCGCCACTAAGCCCAGCTAATTTTTTTTTTTTTTGTGGAGTCGGGGTTTCACCATGTTGGCCAGGCTGGTCTCGAACTCCTGACCTCGTGGTTCACCCACCTCAGCCTCCCAAAGTGCTGGATTACAGGAGTGAGCCACTGTGTGTGCCTGGCTCAGTGATATATTTTTTTCTACTTATGATGTCACCACTGTAATTTTTCTGTGAAGGATAAATATGCCCATAGGATAAGTTAAGCTTAGTTTTGAAATTAATATGCATTCAACTGTTTTAAGTTCCTGCTATAGAAAATGTTTGGGAGAATTGAATAGAATAATCTGGTGAATTGGATGGAGCCCAATAATGTTAAGATGTACTGTCTATAGTAAAAAAAGAAAGGAAATAAGCATTTATTGAGCATCTATTTTGTACCTAGCACATACAGTAATAATAGTAGTGGCTGGGTGTGGTGACTCATGCCTATAATCCCAGCACTTTGGGAGGCAGAGGTGGGTAGATCACCTGAAGTCAGGAGTTCAAGACCAGCCTGGCCAACATAGTGAAACCCTGTCTCTACTAAAAATACAAAAAAAATAGCCGAGCATGGTGGGGGGTACCTGTAATCCCAGCTACTTTGGGAGGCTGAGACAGGAGAATTGCTTGAACCTGGGAGGCGGAGGTTGCAATGAGCCAAGATTGCACCATTGCTCTCCAGCATGGGTGACAAGAGAGAAACTCTGTCTCAAAAGGAAAAAAAAAAAAAAGAAAAGAAAAACTTAGCTGGGTGTATTGGCATGTGCCTGTGGTCCCAGATACTACATGGGAGGCTGAGGCAGGAGGATTGCTTGAGCCCAGGAGGTTGAGGCTGCAGTGAGCCATAATCAAGCCACTGCATTCCAGCCTGAGCAACTGAGTGAGACCCCATCTCCCAAAAAAAGTGTGTGTGTGTATGTGTATGTGTATGTATATATATAGTAGTGGTCACAGCAGCATCCACCACTATCCACCATTT